GGGACAACCAAGTAGGCACGCCCTTGCGTGTTACTACAATATGCATTTCACAGTTAATGACCTTGTGTCATCATTCTCTGATTGTCTCAGTGTCTCATACTCTGATTAAACCTATGAGTCCACATTTTGTTTTGTTGGTGAAGCTGTCGCTGGAAACGCAGTGTGTAATTATGGAAGCAAAGTGTTGCAACTGTGAAAGGCCTCATGTCTAGACGTGGTAGAAAAATCCCCATCTCTGGAACACTGGGAAGATTTCATGTACCCGATACAACAGCAGACATTTTAACTTCCCAGGACATTACTACAAGTGTCACGCCTGACCATAAATGCATCTGTGGCGACTGCTCCTCATTCATTGCTGGCATGGTAAATGCAAGCAAAAAATTCCATGAAAATAAATGCACCTTCTCTGCGTCTACGAAAGACAGCTCATTTGTATTGACCAATATGATTAAAAGAATTCTATATAACTTTTGTGTAAAGGGAATATGAAGGGGAGGACCTCCAGGTGTATATCTGCTCAATTCTTCCACAATTTCTAGAGCACTGCTATGTGAAAAGGCAACAAGCTGCGACGTATCAAGAAGAAAAGCTGCGGAAAGTTCAACATCAACGGCCCTCATTCAAGTTGATTTCTCGGAGAACTATGCCTGCCTACACCAAGACGAAATCCAAAGCGCACACTGGCAACAGAGTCAAGTCAGTCTATTCACGGCAGCTATTTGGTTTGAAGGTCAGCTACATCCTAGAGTCATCGCATCTGACAATTTAACTCATAGTAAAGACAATCATTGCATATGTTGATACTTTGTTAGAAGGTCTTCCTTCACGGTGCAGTGAAGTATCCATCTGGTCCGATGAACCTGCATCTCAATTTAAAAACAGATACGTTGCAGCCAGCATCCCCCGTTCTTAAGAAGCAACATGGTGGTGTTGGAGATTCCGATTGAACACTTTATAAGGAGTGACATTTACATGTTTAAATGATAAACAAATCAAATCTGTTTAAAACTTTTCCCAAACAGAGTTCAAATTTCAAAAATTTGACCTTGTATTTATGAAATCTGCCCAATTGATGCTCGGTGCAGAAATGTTGACTACAGGAATTAATATGTGGTTGGCTGGTTTCAAATGCACGCTCATGGCAATTGTGGACGCGTGGCCCAAACCAAATCTAGAGGTCAAGATGCAGTTGTCTTGCATAATTAATGAGCCATGGTCTATTACACAGACTAACTTCGATAAGCTTCTTTAGGAAACGATCGTTTCAGTTTAGGTTTTAAAGTGTTACATTGTTTCCAAAAGACTTCTATCCATCCCAAACAATGTGCTATCATGTTATAGCGTGTAGAATCGCTGTTGGGATGCCACCAGAGGAAGATAGTAAGCCGACCGGTAACTTGGAGTTGTTGAAGCGGACACTTTTGCGTTCAGGATTGAACTCAACATTGTGCAAGTTTGAGGTCCGCAAGATCAAAGGACAGTGAGGAAACTCTTTACAATTATTTTTGATAGTTCAGCAAGCATATACATGAAGAATGGATGAATTCGCAATATTAGTTTTTCTTTGCGAACAAAACGTAGGAGAATTAGGGCTCTGGTTGAAGAACATTTGAAGACACTTGATGACAGTGGATCATTTGATAGTGCAGAGGCTGCAGAATCTGATCAATCCTTACCATTGAGAGACTGTAGTGAAAGGATACATGAACAGTCATCTTATCCTGAGCTTGGTAATGTTGAAGCTTTTAGTTGGAATGATGAACATGATGCAAACTGTTCAAGACAAGCACCAAACTCATCTGACTTATCAGACAGTGAATTGTACCGAATGTACTTCAGCGACGCAGCTATTGAGGCTTTGAGTGATAGAGATGAAAGTGGAGAAATCACGGATGATTCCTCAAAGTGCATAAATAGTCAAGAAGAATTAGCTGAATGCTCTAGTAGATTTAACATTCCTCACTTGGCACTGTCTGGATTATTTAGTTTATTCCTGGTTTAACTTATTAGCATACCATAACAATGGTCTTGCTTTTAAGTTGATTCTTTTGAAAACTTAATTATAAAGCTTCCCATCTTGTACATAAACTTTCTTAATTACGAAAAAGGTGTTTTTTGTTTTTGTTCCCAGGGGCTGTTCACCGCAACCCAAAGTCCATTCCACAACAAAAGTGGAAATCAGGGATGTTGCAACATCATTCTTGTACAACGCCCGCGATAAGAACAGCTGCAGAAAACAATGCAAAAATATCTAAGAGAACGGCAACCGAGTACAAAAATAAAGTAAAAAATGCCCATGTCAGACTTCAGCGAATTATTCAAAGGCAAACAAAGCAAAGGACTACCAAAAAAGGAGAAGTATGGAAGGACATGGGTCAATACAAAACGAAAGGATTTCTATGACACAGTATGTTTCACTCATGGTTTTGGTAATACAGTAAAATTCCCGGAACGTTTTTCCCTCTTCCATGATAAAAAAAGCTGTAAATAAACATAGATAGAATGTTTTTATCAAGGACACTTTCATGATAGCTGACAGAGCATACCATGTCATGAGCTGTTTTCTGAGATGGTGATGAGGGTTTCCAAGTCTGCAAACTATCTGTATATATCATACGACACCTCATTCAATCTTGGTGAATTTTGCTATGCTTATAATGAGACATTCTCATTTTGTTGAAAACCCCATAGTACCAGTTGCTGTCATAATACGTGACAGAAAATACCAGACAAGTCACAAAGAGCTTTTGAAAATTGTCCATTAAAAGTGCCCATCACTTTTTACGGACAACCTGGTAATTATCACAGATCACGAACAGGCCACTGTGAACGCTATCAAGGCAGAATTGCTGGCAACCAACATATTGTGTTGAAACCACCTGCTCGGTGATGTGAAACGGTGGGTCATTGCCCATGGGGAAAAGTTGAGACCGTCAAGTATACAGAAAGGATGTAAAGGGGCATGTTGAGCTGTAAGAGCAAACATAAGTACGATTTGTTACCCTGGAAGGTCAAGATCAAATGAGGCAGGGCAGGTCAAGATCAAATGAGGCAGGGCATTTCTACACCATTTTGAGGATGACCTGTAACCATATATTACATCTTCAGGCAGATGGGTCTTACTCTTAGAACCACTAGGGATATTCACGCCCGACTCAGGGGTCACTACAAACAGTAGCGAAAGTTTCAATGCTGTTATGAAAGGAGTTGTAGACAGAAAGGAGATGCCCATAGATAGCATGGTTCTATGCATGTATTACCCTTTTCCAATTTCTACCTTAATGAGCTCCTTCAGGGTTACTGCAATCTAGGCGACTATCGTCTAAAGACAAATAACCAGAAATGTCCAACCTCCTTGGATGACGCAAATTTGTCAATTCATTCTACGTGTAGCTGGCCCAAGTTCGGTTGTTGACCATGTAGTAAATGCTCAATTAGCTTAGTCAATCTCACTGAAGGTAACTGCTTCAGAAGGAAGACTAGGCAAGTTGAGCATGACCAAAATGCTGCTTGATAACCACAGGATAACTTGCGTTCCTGAATGTGGGGCATTTATGGTGCAAGGTTCGAAGGGAATAATTATGATATTCTGTTACCTTGTTTCCGAAAGAATTCTGTCCATGTATTTCCCAAACAACGTGCTATCATATTATAGCGTGTAGAATCGCTGTTGGTATGCCAGCAGAGGAAGATAGTTAGCCGACCGGTAACTTGGAGTTGTTGAAGCGGACACTTTTGTGTTCTGGATTGAACTCAACATTGTGCAGGTTTGAGGTCCGCAAGATCAAAGGACAGTGAGGAGGCTCTTTACAATTATTTTTGATAGTTCAGCAAGCATATAGAATGGATGAATTCGCAATATTAGGTTTTCTTTGCGAACAAAACGTACGAGAATTAGGGCTCTAATTGAAGAACATTTGAAGACACTTGATGACAGTGGATCATTTGATCAGAGGCAGAGGCTGCAGAATCTGATCAATCCTTACCTTTGAGAGACTGTAGTGAAAGGATACATGAACAGTCATTTAATCCTGAGCTTGGTAATGTTGAAGCTTTTAGTTGGAATGATGAACATGATGCATACTGTTTAAGACAAGCACCAAACTCATCTGACTGGTATCTGAACAACTCGTACCCGGGACAACCCGTACCCGGGACGACTCGCACCCCAAATTTGTGACCCGGGACAACTCGTACCCGAGACGACTCGTACCCGGGACAACTCGTACCCGGGACGACTCGTACCCGGGACGACTCGTACTTTGTACTTTTCTTACCATTTACTTTTCTGTTCCTTTTTAGTTAGATGTAATGGACAAATCCGAAGATGTGGAAAACCAAAAGCCGTTGAGTTTTGGGGAATTGCCAGTGGTGACAAGCAAGAGATTGTTCTGGAGAGATTCTGGCAGCTGGCCGATGATCGCGGAGTTCGCCGAATTTGCGGAAGGAGCTATAGCAATCATGAGCTTCCTATAAACTTACTTGATCTTCATTTATTGCGAAAACTTATTTCTAAAATAAGTGGACCGATTCTTTAAAATTATAAAAATGTTACATATGTCACCTTCTACACTTTTTATGACATTAATTTTGATAACCATCAACAATCCCATAGCGTGTCAGTCTTTTGCATAATTATGTGAAATAATTCAAATGTCACTTAATTAGAATTGTAAGCTTAGTGAGTAGCGTGAGATGCCATGTTTCACGCGTCATTGTGTTCCCGTTTGCAGGGCTATAACGCCAGCTACTAGGGCGGAGTTTGCTCGTAACTTATTTGATCTTCAGTTATTGCATTACTAAATAAGTGTACCGAGTCATTATGAAATGTTACATAATTATGTCACCTTCTACAGTTTTTATGACATTAATTTTGTCTTTCATTTCATGGGGTTTTATTTTACGGGGATAACTCAATCAACACAAATCATCATACCATCAACAATCCGAGTAGCGTAGATGTTGTTTGCTCAGCCGGTGTCATCGTGGAGCACATCATGAGTGAGAATCCAACGGCACGGACCTTCACCTGTCCCAACCCAGTCAACCTAAAGCGAACCGCCAACAGAACCCGACAAAGCAAGCGACCTCCAGAGCTTGCCGACCTGGACTTCGAGGTCGCAACCCATTTCCTGCCCGCCGACTTCTTTCAGAAGGACGTCCGTGTGGGATCCGCTCACCATCTCATCTTCTACACCCCCGATCAACTGGAGCTGCTGGACAGGGCCAAGACGTGGTACTTGGATGGTACCTTCAAGCTAGTCAAGCAGCCGTTGTGCCAGCTATTTTGTGTCCATGCTTTCATCAAGGGCAACGCTGGCGAATTGAAGCAAGTCCCCCTAGCTTTTGCCATGATGTCCAGGCGCACCAAGAAGGACTACAAGAAGGTTAGCTTGATGTATTTCATTTAGCAAACTTTATTGCGATGCTGCATTACATTAATATTTCAACGCCCACTCTCCCGACTCTCACTTGCATTATCATTTATCAAACTTTATTTCCACGCCCAATCTCCCAACATTATCACTATCATTTAGCAAACTTTATTGCAATGATACATGTAAATCTGATATTGCATTACCATAATTTAATAATTATATATTTTTGTCTTCTTTTCTTTCTCCAACTGCAGGTACTGAAGGCTTTGAAGAAGAAACTGCCGTCTCAGGCTACCAACGTCCGTGAGATGGTGGTTGACTTCGAGTCGGACCTTTGGTCAGCGATCCGTGCCATCTTTGATGTGGACATCAAGGGGTGTCTATACCATTGGACCCAAGCCGTGTGGAGGAAGTGCCAGGAACTGGGCCAAGCAAGCACATCCAGCCCGCCTTCGACAGAATGGCGGAGACAGCAGTCAACGCTACTTTCATCAACCTCTGCAACTACATCAGGGCGACATGGCTGGAAAGCACCATCTGGGGGCCTGAAAACTGGTCCGTATTCATGCGGAGCATCTGTACTAACAACAATGTGGAGGGGTGGCACCGCAGAATCAATGGGAGGGCGGGTCGACACAACGTGAACAGTCATCTAATCCTGAGCTTGGTCATGTTTTTTAGCTTTTAGTTGGAATGATGAACATGATGCAAACTGTTCAAGACAAGCACCAAACTCATCTGACTTATCAGACAGTGAATTGTACCGCATGTACTTCAGCGACACAGCTATTGAGGCTTTGAGTGATAGTGATGAAAGTGGAGAAATCACAGATGATTCATCAAAGTGCATAAATAGTCATGCACATGCACTTGAAACCACCTGCTTGGTGATGTAAAATGGTGGGTCATTGCCCATGGGGGAAAGTTGAGACCGTCAAGTATACAGAAAGGATGTAAAGGGGCATGTTGAACTGTAAGAGCAAACGTAAGTACGATTTGTTACCCTGGAAGGTCAAGATCAAATGAGGCAGGGCAGGTCAAGATCAAATGAGGCAGGGCTTTTCTACACCATTTTGAGGATGACCTGTAACCATATATTACATCTTCAGGCAGATGGGTCTTAGAACCACTGGGAATATACACGACTGACTCAGGGGTCACTACAACAGTAGTGAAAGTTTCAACGCTGTTATGAAACGAGTTGTAGACAGAAAGGAGATGCCCATAGATAGCATGGTTCTATGCATGTATTACCCTTTTCCAATTTCTACCTTAATGAGCTCCTTCAGGGTTACTGCAATCTAGGCGACTATCGTCTAAAGACAAATAACCAGAAATGTCCTCGGAGGACGCAAATTTGTCAGCTGGACCAAGTTCGGTTGTTGACCATGTAGTAAATGCTCAATTACCTTAGTCAATCTCACTGAAGGTAACTGCTTCAGAAGGAATACTGGGCCAGTTGAGCATGACCAAAATGCTGCTTGATAACCACAGGATAACTTGCATTCCTGAATGTGGGGCATTTATGGTGCAAGGTTCGAAAGGAACATGTTATTCTGTTACCTTGTTTCCAGACAAATTCTGTCGTACATTTCCCAAACAATGTGCTTTCATATTATATAGCATGTAGAATTGCCGTTGGGATGCCACCAGAAGTATATAGTAAGCGGGCCGTTAACTTGAGCTTTTTGGAGTGTAGCAAGAGGCATCAAAAGAAAGTTTGGTAGCAAGAAGCCTAGGGCCGAGGATGTAGAGTATGATGTCAGGGCTGCCCCTGACCCTTATTTGCAGATCGTGCACACAGTGATCCTTTGGAAGAGCACCCGTGGGATGTCAATGTCACCCCAGTCCCTTTAAAGTAATAGCCAACTGGATCTATGTATGCTATGGTGTGCATACATGCAAGCACACAATTGATCCATAATTTACTACCTGTATTTTTTTCATAATACAGGTCCTGCAAGTGCTTTCATCCAAAGAATTTTCCACTCCAGCAGATCGTGTATCAACCCTCTCTGGCATCATGAAGAAATATCCCTGTATATCCTCTGCTGCCTTCTGGAAAGCTTATATTTCTCAATATAGAGGTAAAGTTGTCTAAACTGCTTCAAACTATTATTTTTGACTTGATGTTCCACAACCAATTATGAAACCACACAAGTTACCCAACTGCTTACAATACAGCTTTGACAATAAACTCACGATTTAGAAATTTGGAGTCAAAATTTGTTGTAAAATTTAAATAAAAAATGGTCACAAATTGTGTAACTGACAATGGATAGCCTAAGGTTGTACTTAAACTCATGCAAATTAAAATTTATTACAGCAAATAAGAATATACTGCATTGATTCCCATGTTATATGAAGGTGTCAGGCTATAGGCGTACCTTATTACAATGTGCTTGTTCTTGAAAGATTTGAAGAATTTTCCTTTTTATTCGATAAGGTTAGCAACAGCAGCTAGTGAGCATCGGCATTACTTGAACATGACGTATTTTTACCAACACACTCTAAGAGGTGGCAGTAAGATTGGACTCGCAGTTTTGCAAGAACTCTTCGAATGGCAGTGGAGATCCTTTGGCATCACATCAGGGATTGTCCGACTGAAATTGTTTGCGCCTTTGACAAATTTGTTGAAACCCATCTGACAGCAAATAATGTTGACGAAGACAGCAGAAAAACCAAACAACAGAAGATGGCAACACCAACAAAGGTATGCACCACAGGTGAACTGAATTTTGGCTAACCAATTGTTTGTCCTTGCGGGCAAGTTGAGCGCTTCCCAGGAGATAGTGTGTACCAGATACGACGCCTTGGTGGAAGCGTATGGAGGGGCAGCACTTTGCCTGAAAGCTGGATAGTTGTGTCACCTCAGGCAGAGTGCAATCAGGATCCATGATACCTTCCACATAACCTTGCAGAAGGATTTTGGAAGGGATGGGTAGTTGTATCCGATGACTACTTTAACCACTGTGCCCGACATGACCATGATGTACAATGTACAAATGTAGGTGTTCATAACTACCAACTAGACATGCAGAAACTGAAGGACGGTCCATCGCAGTTGCTCCAATCACTGAAGAATCTTCCTACCCCAGGTGACATCACAGAAAGAGAAAACAAACAGTAGTAAACTTTCATATTTCCTAAACCACAAATGCCATAGGGGCCTATAAGAACAAATTCAATATTCAATCGAAAAAAACACTGGCTAGCAGGGATTTCAGTTCATTAAGAAATTCATTTGACTTTAATGACGATGTCTCATGGCTTGACAGAATACTGTTACGCTTCTCACTTTGTGCACCTCTCACTTGAAATAGCAGTGGCTCATTCAATGAACAAAAAACGGCTAAATAATTAAGCTTTAGTCACCACTATCAAAATACAGATGAACTTAATATCTTAGCTTTAATGTGCGACTTATCAGAGGTATTAATATGAAAGTCCTGTACTTTCTGGATCTTGGCACTAACTAGGCTGAAGCACCAACTGAGAAAGAGACCTGGAGTTGTCAAACCATGTCAACCGCACTGACAAGTTCTAAGAGAGAATACCAAACGGAGACCAGCGAGATTACCCACAGTATTTAATGAGTTCAAGAAGTCCAGGTTTCAACAGGTAAAGAGTTCTATTAAATCTGTTATTATCCATCCTCGATCCTGTATTTCATACCAACACAAACAATTGTTGTTCCATGCATATTAACTGGACTAGTGGTATGACTATCATGTTAACCAACTACACAAAATATCTAGACACATGGAAAACTGACACAATTATTTCACCAGTTCTGCTTGTTTATTGTATAACAGGCTCTTGCGAGCGGGTTGATATTACGGCTGCAAATCAAAACATATGCGATGAGCGGCATGCTATGCCAGAGGAAGAAAAGGAAAACTACACCAGGACAGCCCTAGGTGCTGAAGACCCTCGGCAATGATATCGGGATTTCAGGTGTGCAGTTTAGTTAAGTTCATGTGGCGACATTTATCAAATGGGACAATTGAAAAGAAAAAAACTGACTAACCGACCAACCGACTGAAAGACCTACCAAACGACTGCGCCGTTCCTTATTGGCTCATTCTGATTTGTACTCCAACCATTGGTACCGATGGTTGGTGTACAATCAATTAAATGTCACTTCTATCAAGAGTGTCCGAGTAATGTGTATAGGCTTGTGTTTTACTTGAATCTCCAACACATTCACATTTTTGAAGACAAGGAGAAACTTATGAAGACAAGGAGAGACGATGTCATCATGACATCCTGATTTTTTTACTTAAAAAAATGGTCTTCAGAAACTGCTTGAAGAGCTATCTTTATCTCCAACTGGACAAAGACAGATTCTATAGATTTTGACATTTCAAGATATGTTTCCCCCAAAATCATCTAGCTTTAATACGGCCAATAATTTTTACATAATTTAAGTACCAATTACAAAATGTACTTTATGATGGCAAAGGCAATGTCATTGTCTGCAGCAATGATGGCAAAGATCAAGTCCCATGTGCCAAAGGTAAAGAGGAGCCAAGAATGATGAAGGGTGAGATACTTCTTCAATCAAAAGTTCTTTCTGGAGAGGTAAGCAGCACAGCTAGCAAGGCCCTAGTAAACGAGGTGTTCACTGTCATGAAGGATGACAAAGTAGGGAAAGAAGCCAAAACCGATCAGATAATCTTGGATGACCAGACATGTGGGAAATCCTGTGATGCGCAAATTACATGTACACCTCTGGCGTGATGCGACTGGCAGCTAGATTCAAACTTCAATTAAATTAACTAGTCACACAAGAAGAAGGAACAGGACTGGACAACTACTTGACAACAAAATATTTTGAAGAGGTCTCCAAAGTGGCTCTGGCAGTACCAAGGCAAGGTGAAGAACATTTGCAATCACCATCAAATCTAGTGAAACTCTCCCACCATAATAAACGATTGCCCAACATCAAACTAGTCAATGCTTTGGCCACAAGGAACAGCCAAAGCATGTCAGAAAGCAAAGACTTTTTTGGGACTGCATGGGAAGTGAAAAAAAGAGGAAAAGTTGCATACCTGTCTTATACTCTATGCTCACCTGGATTTAAAGAAAGCCCTGCACCAAGTTCTAGCCAAGCAGCGTACTGAAAAACTTTAAAAATCAAAAGAAAGGGGTACTTCAGCTGGTGAAGGGGCACCTCATACACAGAAATCAACTTCATGTCGACTGCCCAGCACATTCTACATGAGCTGTCCTCAAGGTTGAAAAGTCAGTCACAGAAAATAACTGATTTTTACAAACGAAACCCACTAGCTTGTGTGTACTTTCAGTACGATGAATTAATGAAAATGATGGCTCCACTTGTTTTCAATTGTATTTAGCTACTTGACCATGAATGATCAAGAACAGAAACAAGTATAAAGTTTGTCATCAGATTCATTCCTTTTTTTCGAACTTCATGGATGCAAGCGACCATGCTAAACGTCAGTTGTACAAAGGAATCAATGTTGTTCTTTTCATGCATTTTATTGTGAATGAGAGCAACAATTACCCTCTGCACATCGTAACTGCTAATTGCAATACGCCGCCTGTCAAATTCCACAAAACTTTTAAAAATGTTCAATCAAGCTGGGTTTTGTGTATCCAGGGATACACTAGATAGGTTTCTGGAAGAGGTAAAGAACAGCAGATCAGGCAAAAATTCATTTGAAGGTTTGCAAAGGTCTAGCTGACAATATAGATATTCTTGCATCATATGCAGCTGTGACCTCTAAAGGTGTGGCCAGGAGTTGACGTGGAACATCTACATCTATTATGGCTCAGCAGCCAAGACCTTCAGAAATCCTTTCTGATGTTGAGGATTGTCTGGGAATTTCTTAGACTTTGATGTAGTTCATATTTTTGGAGATGGTTCTTGTTTTTATCGGTGTTTGGCAGTGTACGGAGACTTACAATTACTTGAGTGTTCCCGAAACATTGTTGGTCTTCCAACAGAATTGAATAATTAAGAAAGAAAACAGTATCTCCATTGATTTGAAAAGCTGTTTGTGATGTTTTACAAAATCATGTTGATGTTCTTGATTTGCTTCCCCACGCTGAAAAACAACATCTCCTTGAAATCAGTCAAATTAGGTCATACCAAAATTTTGCA